TAAAGTCCTTATCTAGTATTATACTTTATTATTAGGTCTCCGAAATTCGAATAGCTAGTAATTCCGATAATATAATAGGGAATTAAATATTAGATATTAGATTATATAATAAGTAAACCAATAGTAATAATAACCAAGATATTTAGGTTTTGCTTACTATTATAAGAATCCTATAGGCAAATTATTAGGGAATCAAGTAATATTATATATAGAATAATAAACTAATAAAGTAAAATATAAGATATTAATTTACTATTTTTGTCTCGGTATATAGTATGTCTTACTATATAGGAACAGATATTATAGTTAGATAATTAAAGGACAGAATTAAGTATAATAATTAAAGAAATATCTTAAAATATATTATATTAATTATTATAAATAGTATTATATAAATATAAGATATTATAGAGACAAAATAACTTTAGAGTATCCCAAAAGTAAAATATATCCGATATAATCTAATATTGCTCTAATATTACGGATGAGATTATCTAGCTCAAGCAGGTATTAAGAATTCTTTCTCGGGCTTGCCTTATATTACTATATTTTAGGTAAAAATTACCCAACTTACTATAAGTTAGTATATATATCTAGGTATACTTCCCCTATTATATTAGTATACCCTTATAATTCCTGATAAACTTATTAGTTACAGATTACTTGACTTACTAAATCTCTTATTTGTATAACTTTTATAATTAGTAAATATACAAGTATATAAAGATAAGAAGAGAGAATTATAGAAGCCAAGATTATATATTAGATTTTCTTAAATATAAAGATAGCAGAAAAGTATACTTAATAAAAGAAATATAGTATTATTACTAATCTATACCCAAATATACTAAAATAGAGAGAAGAAAAGAAAGAAATATAAACTCAAGCTACGGGATTATATACTTTTAGTATAGTTCCGTAAATGCTTTCTATATAATTCAGGAGATACTACTTATACTATAGCCCTATTTAATAGGCCTTATACTAGAGCTAATCTTCTTCTTTAATATAGGCCAGATACTTCTACTTAAAGTACTTTATTAAGTTTCCCGGACTAGTAAACTTATAGATATACTTCTCGAATAGCAAGTTCTGTTTCTCGAGATAGAGAAAACAGGTAATAGTTCTTTTCTCTATAAATACTAATAATATAGTATATTTAATACTTGCTTCTTAACCTTAGTAGCTACTAGCTATAGGTTAGCCTTCTTTAATAATATCGGACTTGCCTTTTATATAAATAGCCTCTTATATAATATAGTAATAGTATTACTTTCTTAGAAGTAGTAATAAGTAATAATAGTATTAATTATAGTATTATACTAGTAGAACTTCTCTACTATAGTTATACTCGGTAAGGTTATTACTATCTCTACTAAGTGCTTCTATATTAGGGATATCTTATTAATAATAGATATACTAGTACTTGGGTTATTATAGAACTTAAGCCTAGTAAGCTATAGCTTAACCTTATCTATAGGGTACTTAATATTTCACTTATCTCGGAGCTACTTAAATAATATAGCCCTTAATTACTGCCTCAGATTAATAATTATACTATCCAGGCTTTAGTACCCGGGCTATTTCATTATAGTACCCTTATAGTAGTAGTTCCACTTTATATATAGTATAAGAAGCTAGTAGAATTAGTAGTTATTATTTACGGACTAGAATTACTTAATTATAAGAATATACGGGCAGCCGGAATTAATCTATTATATTATCCGAGAGGTAGCCTATATTAAGTTCTTCTGGGGCTTATAGCCAGATATAATAGCCCGGATATTACCCTATTACTATAGGAGGTAATACTTAATAAAAGTATTAATACTTAATAAAAGTACTAATACTTAATAAAAGTATTAATACTTATATATTATAGTATTATATTCTGGAAAATATTAGTTATATTACCTATATATAGGTTATTAGCTATTAGCTATAAATAGAGGTATAGGAATATATAGTACTTATTACTTTTATTAAATTTATTAGCGGTATTATAATAGAGATAATATAGGTATATAGGCTTTAGAAGCCCAAGAATAAGGCTAATAACCTTTATTAGTAATAAGAGAATAAAATATATTAGAGGCTTATATAGTAAGATCTTATAGAAATATTAAGTATATTTGGCTTAAAAAGTAATTCTAGTTATTAATAGTCAGGTCAGATATCTAGTCTACTCAATTATATAGCAGACCTGAGATTTGGAGCTATAAATGCTCTATTAATAAAAATAAGGCCTAAGAGAAAGATATATAGGCTAAGAATAAGGGAGGAATTAAAGATAATTTCAGGAAGAATAAATTTAATCCTAAAATATATATAAGTAGTATTTAAGTAAGATATAAATAAGAAGGAAATATAAGAAGAGAATAGGCCGAAAACTTATATATTCTTTATACTAAGAAATTACTTTATAAACTTGCAGGTAAATTCTATTAAGATCCGATAAGGGCTACTATTAGGGTCCCAAAGCAGGGTTATAATAATATTACGGTAGTAGAGCTTGAGAAGTACTAAAGGGTGATTTCCGGAAAACCCAGTAAGCTAGTAAAATAGAGTAAGCTAGATATATTACCGGCTATATATAAACTACTTCTTTATTATAGTTAAATTAGTCTGGAGATATTCTATAGATATTCTATAAGATTCTCGATATATATTACTGCCTTCTTATACTTTTTTATTAATAGGCGGTACTTCTTTACTAGCTTCCTAAGGACCTGTAATAGAAATGTTTTATTAGCCTCTTATCTATAGTAATTCGGACTGGCTTGAGTAACCAGATAAAGATATAGTATTTATCTAATATATTTAATGGTTTAGCTTTCCCTTAATCTTCTCCCTAGCTACTTATTTATATATAAGCCGGAAAACCTTCTAGTATATCCCGAGTATACTAGCTAACTTAATATTAGCAAGCCTTCTTCTATTCTTTCTCTAATATTAATTTAATATTTATTTAAAGAAGGCCTTAAAAATATAGCAAGAGAAAGCCTATATTATTCGGGCAGAATTCTTTTATATATATTTATAATACCTTTAAAGAAATTAGCTTAGTAATTTAATAGCAGAGAATAATAGGCTAAATAAGAATAGGGTATATACTAATTAAACTAGTTATTAATTATATCTAGAAGAAGGAAACTATTATTACTATAATCCTTATTTTTATTCTCGGATTTATTAGAATTATTCTTCTAATTGAGATAATACTCTAGCAGGTAGGTATTCTTTTCTCTAGTAATCTATTTTAAATCTAGTAGGTCTGCCTTATTATCTCTATTAATATTAGTATTAATATTTATTAATATAGTATTAGTATTATTTCCTCTAGTAATCCACTCTAGATCTGGCAGATCTGCCTTACTATTTCCGTTAATATTAGTATTAATATCTATTAGCTCGGTCTTGGTATTAGTTCCCTTCTACTTATTCTCTATATTAAAGCAGCTCTTAATATCTGACTTATTACTATCTGAGAAAAAAAAGCTTAGTATTAGTTATTAGTAATAATATATATTAACTAGATCTACTAAAGGAAATAATATTAATAATAATTAAAAGTAAAGAAGCAAGGCTAAAGATATTGGGAGGAGCTTACTATCCAAGTAATAGTAGTAGAGAGAGAAGGAGAGAGGTAGAGTAAGGGAAAGTAATAATTAAGTATGAGAGGTTTAGTAGAAAGAGAATAGAGAAGGGAGAGAGGGAAGGAAGGAGAGAGGGAGGGAAGGAGAGAGGGAGGGAAGGAGAGAGAGAGGGAAGGAAAGAGGGAGGGAAGGAGAGAGGGAGGCAGGATAGACAAATAAATATAAGGGCTACTATTCTTGAGTTATAAGGGGATAGTAATAGAGGGGAGCCGTTTTCCGCTCTCCTCTATTCCTAAAGCATTAAACGAGAATTAGAGAAGAGGTTCTCTAAATAATAACCTTAACCTGCTTGCTTATTTTCGGTATTCCTATAGTAGTTAGTCGGTAAGGGTCTATATAGTTATGCTACCTTGGCTACTAGGTACGCAAGTAGTAGAGCGATATAAGATTTTGGCAAGTCGGTAGCAGAAAGCAGTAACCAAACCCTTTTTCAAAACAGTAGCTAATTTGCTATTTAGTTATTAAATTGAGTTATAATCTTATTTAATTTTTATATAAGTTTAATATATATACTTTTAAAGCTATAAGTTTTTATTATTTATAACTAGTTATTAAAATCTATTATAAGTTTAATAAATAGTATTTAGATTAAATTTTATAAGAATAAATTAAATAGCCTTATAATAAGCCTTAAAGAGATTAATTATAAAAGTAAAATTAAAGAATAAAAGAAAGACTTTATATTATAAATATATTTTAAAGAAATTAAAAACTAATATAATATTACTTATAATATATATAAAAGATTTCAGGAAATATATTTATTTTTAAGGAAAAAGAACTTATTAATTAAATAAAAGAAAGGGTTTAGTTTTAAGTATTTCTTATATAACTAGTTTTTTTAATAAGTAGTTTAACTATAGCTTAATATTATATAAACAAGTTTAAAATAACTTGTAAGCTTGCTATTATAAACTCGTAAGAGCCGTTATACTAAGTTTCTATTTATAAAAAGCAAATTACTCGAGTATTTATAAGCTTATATATTATAATTTTTCTGCCCTTTACTCACTTCGAAACTTCGGCTCCAGCGTCACACCGTGGTAGAAATCTTACTTTTGGTGTTCTTCACGTGACCAAGATTTTTGATAGAGCGATATGGGCCAATCGCTTAGGTGGTCCGACCGTTTTTTAAATAGTATTTTGGTATTCCTCCGGGAAAATAGTTATTCCGGCCCGAAGAGGTGCAAAGCTAGTGGCAGCTAAACGGATAGGGGCCGTCTTTATATCGTACTTTAAGGTATTTATGTCTATCTGTATTTTACCTAGGGTTTTGTACTTTATATATTTCTCTCTTGCCTTTATATCTCTCTTATCTTCTCACTCATCTTCTCACCTATTTTCTTATCTAACTTCTAAGGAATTAGGCCCAGTGGTTGGAACAACCCGGCTGGCGCGAGTCTATAAGAAGGGGTCTATATTGTTCAATTACTGCCTTCAAAATGTGACTAGTAGTTTCATACGTTCTGTATTTGGTTCCGTGTCCTAACGTTAGGGGTAAATGTATGCGAATTTGCATCGGTTATTGTGGGAGGGAAACTGCGACAAGACAAAAACCCACATAAAGTACACCAGAGCGCAAAACGTGACTTGACAGCAAAACAACAAATCAAAAGCGTAAACAGTAAAGCATAAACAGTGTGCAGTGTGCAAAAGCTCAATTGATTGAATACTCATGAAGGATTCTTCTCTAAGTCTACAGAAAAACCAGCTTTCTTATGTGATTCCCGCAAGTCACGTGCAAAAGGCCGCGGCCTTTGCCATGTGACCTAAACCTCAAAACCGCCAAAACAACATGATTTTTGACGAGTACGGCCTGCCGTACCACATTATACAATGGATACAAAAGAAGTGTGCCCCTGCCAATCCCTGTAACATCCCTGTTTCGCTCGCGTAGCATTCCTAAAACATGGGTATACGCCCAAAGGGGAATGACAGGAGGCCAACTCTAATTAGAATACATAAGCACCCTCTCTGGGTAAACCCTAGAACGGGTGCTTATGTAATTGAGAATTGGATTCCCCTCTAGCCCCCTTCCCCCGCGTATAGTAAGCTAATTTATACGATTTTATCGTAAAGTAAGATTTTCTTTTTCGGCTATTTTTTAGCCCGTAGCATATGTACAAAAGGTAGGCAAGATACCCGTCCCTCTGTCCCTTGCTTGTAATCGCTTAGGAAGTATATCCTCAAGGATATACGTACGCTTCCTGCACTTAAGGTATACGTATATATACACTCCTGTGAGGCGCCGAAGGCGCCGAACGCCGTGCCCCTAGCCTCCTAAGCTCCTAGTATCAGTAGAGAATATACTTTAAATATAGATGTGCTTTGTACGCAGATGTGTTCCGTACGCAGTTGTGCCCCACACGCCGTGAGGCGCCGAACGGGGTGCCCCTAGCCTATTAAGGTCCTAATATTAGTAGAGAAATAAGCTTTAGAACTCCCAGAACTAGCGCTCTGTCTAGTTACATTATAATACAAATGAGTCCTGCGGAAATAGCTGCATAATGGAGTTGCATTAGCATCTCTAATCTCATCGCCAATGACCAGTAATTTCAAAACGAGGAGAACTAGGACAGGCTTACCTCCAGCGATAACGCCAGACGTTATACCTGCGGCTAGCCCATTCGCTGTTCCGTTAAAAATGTTGCCCACCAACTCGGCGCAGAACTTCTGATAAGCACCACGAGCTAGGGAAACTTCTCTTCGAGCCTCGTTGACCAATCTCTCTTGTTCTGCGTCCTCATGCTCTGCCTTTTGTTTCCGATAGCGGTATCGAGGCGTTCTAGCTCTGTCCTTACGCAACTCGCTGAGAGACGCCTCCATATCACGTAGCTCATCTTCCTTAGCTGCAAGTAGTTTGCGGAACTGTCGGTCAATCACTCTGAGTTTCTCCTTCCAAGCTCTCTCCTCATCCTCGTGCATATCTTGCATTGATTTCTCGAGGGCTTGTTTGTCTTCTTCGGCTTTCCTCAGCTTCCCCTCGACATCAGCCTTGAGTTCTTGCACCGCCGCGGCGTGCGCGGTATCTGACATTGCCAGCCGATTCTTCATTTCAGCCTCTAGCTCTCGCAACTGACGCTCATGAGCTTGACGGACTTTGTACAGGTCCCCAGTAACGGCAATGCCTGCCGCCGTCTCGCCAATTGTCTTCCCTTGGCCGACCATCTCCCGTTGCAGTTGAAGCACCTCTGGAGCGTGCGTGTCCGATTGGCGGATGAGGTAGGCCACGATGCGCTGTGCCGAGGCTGTCTCTTCGAAGGGGTTCCTGCGACCCCTCTCATTGTGACGGAATACGTTCGCCCTTTGAGCGACTACGGCGCCGAAAAATTTGTCGTCGCACAACAGCTCGGCCTCTCGGTTCTCAAGGGTTGTAATTTCGGCTTGACTAGGCGTGTCCGGCCACATCGTCGTGGCAATGACAAGATTGTCGTAGAATGTGAATCCACAAATGGCCTTCATCATTTCAATATTCCGCAGGCTCGAACCTGACATGCGATTATCAGATATTGGATGCAGCATGATTAAGCCGTGAATGCGTACGCCGTTTGCGTATGACGCGCCGAGATAGGTAGCGAGTATCATCAAAGTATCGATGTCGGAGCGATTCGTGTCATTGAAGCCGGGTGTATCAACGAGATAGATACGTCGACCATTCCACATAAAGTCGAAGACATCGATGGAGTCCGTACCTATAAAAAAACGAGCTATCAAATCGCCGTCTATGTGGGATGCAAGGCTAGAAAGTCAAGAACGCGGATGCCAGGTTATGGGCAGTCTGGGAGAAATCCTTACATGAGTAGAGCCCGTGGCTAATACGAACATCCTTTCCTGTGCATCGAGCAACAAAAGAGCTCTTGCCTGATCCTGTCATGCCCATAACGAGAAAGAACCTGTCTCCTGGATTAGGTCTGGTGACACCAGTAAAAGCTGAGAATCGCTGGGCTTGATCAGTCAATTGATCCACTACAGAGTCCATGTCGTCCATGGTGATCCATATATTGCGGGTGAGAATAAACTGGAGAGCAAAGGGCAAGCGAAGATATGATGGCCTTGCATTTCTACTCGCAATCAAAGGTCGTCACGAGGCGAAGCGGTAAAGATGGCGCCCGTCAGATACATAGGGGAGCGGCGCAGTGCCTTCGAGAACCAGCCTGAGCTGGGCATACTGTGGCTGCACACTCTAGTTTCCAATGGCTGGCAAAAGGGCTGCTGCATGCATCGCTTTGCTTACCTTGATAGGAGAGATGTTTAATTCTGCACATTAGGCAGCAACGGGCCAGGCTGTCGGCTGTCAACCACAAAGCCTGGGGCGGAACATCCGCCTCTGCGGCTTGACAACTCAGACGCTCTGCGAGTCAATGATCCTATTACAGCGGACCACATAGCTGCTGACATGGTGTAACCTCTCACGACTGTATCATTACCAATAGGCGTTAAGCCACGCTCGAAAAGTATTTACCTGATTGATTGATTGATTTAGTCATACACCGTTCCAGGCCTAAGGTCCATGCAGGAGTGGTCTATCTAAGGTTACACTGCAGTTCCTGCTGCTGCCTGGATTCTGCCCGAGCCTGAGCCAGGCTCAATAAACCGGAAGGATGGTTCCTTTCGTTATCCAGAACAACTCCAACTTTCACACCCGGTTAATCTGTCACACTGAAAGTTCAAACCGTGATAGTACACTTCAAGTGCCTGAGCAGAATGTCCCTTTTGAGTGGGTTCGAACCTCCTGATTATGAGGCATATCATCACTAATATCCGGTTAGAAAGAGCCTTCCAGCGTCGCAGCACGCTAGTTCCAAACTCAGGTTCACCAACCTTTCGCGGTGGCCGCGACCCTGGGTAAGTGCTGAACGAATCCTTACTCTAACATCGATCCACCTCTCTGATCTAATGGAAAAGGCCAAATGACGTGTTCATTGCTGTGATGGGTGTCACGGGGTCAGGCAAGAGCTCTTTTATCTCGAAGTGTTCTGGTCAACCCGTCAAAATTGGTCATTCCTTAGAAGCATGTGAGTGTGACCGGTAGACCAGTGGAGATGTTGGTATTGGCGCATCCTGATGAAGATAGGCACATCTACCGTTGGAGTCTATGCATACGAGCTGGCGCCTGACTGCACAGTCTATCTCATCGATACACCTGGGTTTGATGATACCAATAAGAATGACACTGAGGTTCTCAGAGAGATTGCTATGTGGCTTGGGGCGTCTTATAGAGACGGCATTCTACTCAGTGGGATCATATACCTCCATCGTGTTACTGACGTCCGCATGCAAGGCTCCGCTATCAGGAATTTGCTCATGTTCAAGCAGTTGTGTGGTCGGGATGCCCTTAAGAAGGTTATTCTTGTCACAACCATGTGGGATAGGGTCTTGAGTGAAGAAGGCAACAATCGCGAGAAAGAATTGAAAGAAACGCCGGATTTCTGGGGGAAGATGTTGATCAATGGTAGTTCCTGTCATCGTTACCACAACACGGAGGCCTCGGCAAGAGATATTGTCCACCGCCTGGCCAACCACAACGCACAGGTAACCCTGGACCTGCAGAGACAGCTGGTGGTCGAGCAACGCACGCTAGATCAGACCTCGGCCGGCCGGGAACTGCAGGGCGAGTTGCTCAAGGAGAAGACGAAGTGGGCCAAGGAGCGTCGACAGATCGAGGAGCAGATGAAAGAGGCAATAAAACAACGGGATCGCGAGGCTGAGAAGATTATGCGTGAAGAGCGTGATAAGTACACACGCATGATCAAGAAGGTGGAGAACGATACGGGCACTCTTCGCTATAACATGGAAAATCTCCTTGCCGAACGCGATCAGCGCGTCGCCCGGATGGAGAAGCAGATACAGAAACAAGAAGCTGCCCACGAGGACGAGTTAAGACGACTAAATGACAGACAGCTGCGGCTCGAAAGGGAGAAAGTGGAGCTGGAGAAAAAAAGAGAGCAAGAGGATCAGGCTCGGCGTCAGCGTGAGAAGCAATCTCCACAACAGCCGACCAGACAGGTTCAAAATCGTAAGCCGACGAACACCTCATTCTGCCCCCCGTATTCGGTGGCGATGCGTGGAAATCAATATGTTTGCTCGAGTAAGAAACAACTGCAGAGGTAAGCGCGCCGGATGCACCAAGAAGTGTAGGTATTGCTTAGGGAGTTACTGACGAACTGTACAAGGAACGTCACTTACCCGAGCAATCGGGCTGGCTCGGCGTGGCTAGAATTCGTCACCCTTGGGACAGATGGGACGTGGATCGCTCGCTATAGTAACGATTCTTGGTGTAAGAAGTGAACTGCACTTTCGAAGGAACCGAGAAAGAAGCTAACAGTAGGTATGCCGTAACAGATAAAAGCTTAGATATCGCCCCGGAATACCCACACCTCAGCGCAAAGATCGGCTCTCACGGACTTAACAACCTAGAACTTTGTGCTCTTGGACCCGGTCAGACCTATTTCGCACGGTGGAGAGACAGCACTACTAGTTGGTGGGCGTCAGAAGATGCCCGCAATGCTCTGAGCAAAGCCGACAACAATGCGAATAATACTAAAGTCTTCGCTATGGCTTTTGGATACGGAGGCTCCTATATCATCTCCTATGGAAGCGCTTCAAAAACGTTCCAAGATGACCTGGGCTACATTCCGAAGTTGAACGGCTGGTACCCGACGCTCAGCCGACTAATTAACGAGAATAAGAGTATGACCATACTCGTAAGTGCTTGGTCTAGCTCGATCCTGCAGTACATAATTTCACACTACGGCAGGCTATTGCACTCAATCCACACAATACGACTGATTATATCATAATTTGGAAGCTCAACGATAACAGACACAGGATGAATTGGCTTTCTTCACACAACAATGGATTAGAAAGTATTCGGTCATGGTGGGATAAGAGCTGAAATGTCAGTTGCTATGTATTATAATTCACTCCTAGGCATCGGTAGCGAGTCATCTCCGCAGCCTAGAGGTTGTACTGATCCACGCTGGCAGGAGATGCTACTTATGGGAAGCCCAATATACTGCACTCCAATCCTCTCTCTCTGAGTTGCTTATACTTTACTCATATTATAAACTCAATAAAAGTTCAGTTACACGCCGGAAATATCCTCTCTTCCAAATATAACAACTTCACAATTTAGCTCTAAATAATCACTAAAACTCGCATTAGTCTGCAAAATTCCATTTAGCTTATCCCTCAAAATACAATTCTCAAACTTAAAACTACCCGCTAACTCATTAAGCTCCTCCTCTATCTTGCCTCTAAAAAGTTCTGCTATTTCCCGTTCTATATACTCACTCAGTGTATCAAATGATTTAGTTTGATTTGATTATAGCCTCTGAATCAAATCAAATCAAGTCAAAATCTACTTAATCAAATTATAATTAACTATAGTTAATTATAGTTAATTATAGTTAATTATAGTTAATTATTTAGTCACGTGACCGTGCACGTGCGCTCGGAGGTTCGAAAGCGAGAAAAGGCTAAAATAAGGTTTAGGCTAGCCCGTATCCGGTATCGCTTAAGGTGCTCCTTACTAAATCGGGTATCGCGCCGCTGAGTTCCGAAAGCACAAGGGCCTCTTTATAGATCTTATTCCGGATCTCGCTGGGGAAGCTGAAGAAATTGATCGGCATCGCGGTACTGTGGACGGCTACCGGAAATTGTCCTGCGTTCGGTTCAGAGCCAAAAAAGACCGGAGAGAAAGCAGATAGGATAGTATTATGTATCCGAATAATGGAACCGAGACTCTGTCTCGCTTGGGTCAAGAACTCCAAAATAGAACAGTCAACTCAGTTACTATTCAGTTAGCTAACCTCGAGAACCTTATAGAGTTACAAGAGTCTCGGTATTTAAAGACAATCTCAATTAGAAGCACGATTAATGCCAGACTACCATACCGTATCTCGAACCTCGATGGACTATAATTATACTTTTGATATTACTGGCTATACTTCCTATAGTATACTAATATCTAAATATATAAGTAGCTAGACGAGGCTTCCGCCACTCTCTCCTGGCTTATTACGATAGCTAGGCCGGGGAAATAACGGCTTAAGTCGCCCTCTTATTACTATAACCGCATTTGTAATTAGAGATAGTTCGAGGGACTTAAAGAAAAATTTTATTTCTCTAATTTCGGACTATAAGGCTTATATTCTAATTACAAATATAAAAGGCGAGAATATCTAGTAAATAATTAGATAAATATAAATTCTTTTAAGCTTAATTACAAATACCTTAATTAGCTATTAATTCTAGTAATATCTAAATAACTAAACTAAAACTTGTTATTTCTAAACTAGTATTTCTTCTCTTAATTTTTAAGAAATCTCTAATATAATTATAGTCGGAAATAGGCATTTAATATAAAAGCTTATAATATATTTATTAGGTAATATTATAGTCTTTTCCGAAGTCTTAATATTATCTTTAATATAGTTTACTAAGATTCAAATAATATCTAATATATCTTTATTATATATTATTTATCTATAGTATTATTTCTTTTTCTTTAATAATATTTTGCAATTACCTTAATTCTTCTTATATTTCTCTTTAATTACTTTACTTTTTTATAATTGCCCGTATTATATTTACTATAATCTAATTATATTCTAGTATAACTAATAAAACAGGTTATTAAGAAAAGAGAATTATAGAAATAATAATATAAAAAGATATAATTATCTATTTATAATTATAATAAATAATTAGCTATTTCTAAAAGCTAGATAAGCTTCCTAAAATACTAAATAAAAACCTTATTATTATAGAAGAGAAATTATAATAAAATAAAAACCTATATAAGATATACTAAAATATAAAACGTAATTTAATAGTAAAATAATAAAATTAAAAATATAAATAATAAAGTATAAATAATATATAGTATATAAAAGCTTAATTAATTAAATATAAAAAAAGAATTATTATCTAGAATTATAAAAAAGCCAGCTTTCTTATATAATTTCTATAAGTTATATATAAAAGGCCCTAGCCTTTATTATATAACTAAAATATTAAAACTATTAAAATAAAGCAATTTTAATAGAATATAACTTATTATACTATATCCGATTTCTTATTTATTTATATTTATTTCCTAAATACTAAAAACTAATAAAAAATCCTTATTTAGAATCCGAAATAATAAAATAATTAGAATTCTTCTTTACTAGTATTTCTAATTTCTTTTTAATATATCGAAAATATAATCTATTATTTTTAAATAGTTTTATTTTATATTTTTGAACTTACTTAAAAGTAATTCGAATTTATTTAATTATATTCTTATATTAAATATAATATAATTCTTTTTACTATTTAATATTTGTTTTTAACTATTAGTTAATCTTAGCCTTTATAGCTAAATATTAAAGTAACTTATTATAGTAAATTATATTATAAATTATATTAATATATTTCAAATAAATAGCTTTTTCGAATTTTATATTACTTTTAATATTCTTAAATTAGCCTTTAGTAAAAAAGAAAAGCTCTTAATAAAAAGCTTTAAAAACTTTATAGGAGATTCTATTTTTATATATTTTATTCTAAATAATAACTAGATTTATTATAATTATAATAAAAGACTTTTCGAATAGTAAATTATTATTAAGTTATTCTTTAACTATTATTTTATATAAGAATTATTATTTAACTATAATTTCAGACTTATAAATTATCTAGCTAAAGGTATCTATTTATTTAATTAAATATATTATATTTAAATGCTTTTTTTCTGCTTTTTTTATTAAATATTTATTTAATTTCTTTATATTTTTCAAGTCGAAATTATTATAAATAGAGAAATAATTAATATTCTTAAAAACTTTCTTATTAAAGAAAATATAGCTAATATTCCGATGTTTTCTATTAAAAAAAACTTATTATTTAGAGCTTTAATAATAGCCAGATTATTAGTATTACCTTTATATTAATAATAATTAATATTTCTAGAAATATAGTATTAGGCTAGCTAAAAGTAAATAATTAAATAAATAGAATATTTAGCTAATACTTTATAAAACCCAAGCTATATTAAGGAGTCCGTTATTAAGAATTAAGAAACTAAACTAAAATAACTATTATCTAAATCTTTATATTTTAATATTTTATTCTTTTAAAAATAAAAATATAATATTCCTATCTCTTCTATTAAAAGCTTTCAGATACTAAGCTTTTTAGTTTATTTCAGGTAATTCTTTTTATAAATATAGCTATTTATATTTAGATTAGAAATACTAAATTCAAAAATAGAAACTATAATATTAAATTAAAGCTATAAATTCGTGCAAAATTAATTAGAAACCCGATATTTATATTTATAGTTTATAATCTTTTTATTTTTTAAAAAGAAATCCTTTATTTCTTTATTTACCTAAATAATAGAAATATATTTCTTGTTTTTAATAATTTTATAAATTTTAATAGCTATTTTCAAGATATTTATAAGCTTAATATTAATTATTTAAATAAAGAAAATATTAGTAAATTACTAAAGATATATTTTATAAAAAGCTTTAAAAAATCTATTAATAATTCTATAATATTTTTATTTATAAATAAATTCTAAAATACTATTATATAATTCTTTTAAAATATAATTATTTTAATAATTAAATATTAGCTTCTATTTAGCTAGTATATTATAAATATAGTATTTAGATATACTATTAATATTATTAGTTTTCTTTTTTTTAGTTTTTAAAAGCTTTTTAAATAATATCTCTTTTTTGCTTTATTTTATTTTATTTTTTAATATATTACTAATTTTATATTTAGACTAGTATCCAGATTTATATTATTTATTAGAAGTTTTAGGCTTAATTTATTTTCCTTTCTTGCCAGATTTTTAATTAGTTATATTAATTCTATTAGTTTTACTAATAGTACTAATAGTAGGCTTTATTAAATTATTTCTAATTTTACTAGTTAGAGTTAATTAAGTTATTATTAAGATTATAATAAAAGTCTATTTTTTAGATTTATTATTAAAGTTAGAAAAAGGTTTATTATTATAATATTCTATAATAAAAATTCCGAAAGTATTAAAAATACATTATTTAGTCTTAAGATTAATAGCTAATAGTAGCTTAAAAATTAATTCTTTAGGTTTCGAAATAGTTTTAGTATATTTAAATACCTTAATAATATCTAATTTAATAAATATATTAGTATTCTAATATTTCTTATTTTTAATATATTTTAAAGTAGTTTTATTAATTAATTAAATAGCCTTATATATTAAAGCTTTTATTTTAAAAAAGAAATATAACTTCTTATAAATATTCTTATTAAAGTTATTATAGATATTATTAATATATTAGCTAAAGGCTTTATTATATAATATAATTCTATTTTAATTCTTGGTTTCTAAATTATTTATTATAGTTTTAATTTTATTAAGCTTCTTTTATCTGCTTTTACTAATGCCTTTAATAATATTCTCGATTTCTCTATTATTAGCTTAATAGTTCTTTAGCTTCTCTTTAATTAATTTTAGTCTAGTTCTATTTCTAATAAGAATTTTTTATTTTAAAAGCTTATTATATATATTATTTAGCTTATTAAAGATATTTGTATTAAATTCAGTAATTATAATTATTTTTTCTAGTATTAATAAGCCTTCTATAATTATTTAAGCTTTTTTAATATTCTAAACTTTAATACTATTCATTTATAGGCTTTTAGTAATAGTATAGCTTATAAGAACTAGTTATTATACTTTACTAGATTAAGAAATCTATTTTTCGGCTATTTTATTATTTTTAAAAGAATTATATAAATATTATTAATATAATAATTATAGGTTATAAAATTAAAGATTTTTAAAATTATAAGAATTTCTTTTAAATATTTCCTAAAATAAAGAATAAATCGAAATAGATTTGAGTTATATAAAAGTATTATATATATTCGAGTTTTCTTTTTTCTTAATAAAGAATATAAAACTAAAATAGTAATATATATAATAAAAAAAGTAACTATAATAATTAAATATATTTAAGGTTATATAATTATAGAAAGTAAAATATAAAATTAAGCTTTTATTATAAAAAGAAATACTAATATATATATTTAAGGAAATATAAGCTAAA